CCTCAAGCTAAGGCTTTTCCCCTGTATTACAGAGTTAAATCTGTGGAAGTGAGTGCAATGCAGCTGAAGATTTGTTTGGTCAGATTCAGTCTATGAGCTTAGTTTCTTTCAGTTAAATTTATATCAATGTAGCTGTTCTAACAACAGAGGAGTTCAAACAGATGGATAGCTCAAAACCTGTGATTGTAGATATGTCTATACTATGTACAGTACTACACTGTAAACATGGAAATAAATAAATAAAAACATGAATAAAAAAGTAAAGGATTATTTTGTCCAGTGACCTTAAAAAACATGACAAAAACATTTATGAGTCATTTATAAATCTGATCGTTGCCTATATTTAAAATATAAATGTTGAATGAAATGATTTAACTAACAAACTATTATTCTTTCAATTTCAGCTGATGCTTCTAAATCTTAAATCGAAGGTGTGATGAAGATGCTTTTGTACTTCCATTCAACTGTGGCTCTTCATGCCAAGAGCCCACAAAGTACTGCTGAATGGCAGGTCGACAAAACTGTCAATAAAAGGGAAATTCGTGTTTCTCGATGTTTACAAATGTCAGTTTGTTTGTGAGTTTTAATAATGGACCTTCAGTGCACTTTCAGACGCAGACTATTTATGTTCGTACAATCTCGATCAAGCGGAAAATCAATGTTTACAGGGTAAGCAAGTGTTCTAAATCTACAGCCAAGCACCTAAGAGGGGATAGTGCGATGGTCAACCCTTTCTTAGTCTCCTTCCATCATTTAAACCTCTCTCACTCTGTCTCATTTCATTCAGTCTGGCTCATGTTTCCTCTCTCAAGTCCACTGCCTCTAACCCCAGCACCTCCCCTCCCCTCGTGCTTTGCTGCCAGGTCAGCAGATCAGTTTCAGTCTGGCTCAATGGGTGATCCCCACTTTGGTTACCTTGTCCTTCTCACCTCCCACTTACCTCCACCTCCTCATCTCCCATCTACTCGCCCCTTGAGCATATGGCTGGCTGAGTGGCCTGAACTCGTCGTGACTTTAATAAATACCTCAGTGTGCTGGTATCATCATGACAAGGGTCACGGGATGGTTACAGTGTGCGCATTCGTGTGTGTCACAAAGCAACAGGGAGGGGACAGTGTGTGTTTGTGTGTTTCTGTTTGTTTCTGGATGACAGTACCTTCACCTCTACGACCCAAATGCACGCTGCATGTTATCACAGGGGGCGTATGTGCGGATGCATTCATGTGGCATGCATGAATCTGAGTCTGTGACAGAGGCTCATCATATTTAATCCTGGAGGGATTTTGCTGAAATGAAAAGCTGCTTTTCAATTTTATAATCCAGTAGACCTAATCTCTCCACCCGCACCCGTCCATACAGTCCAATTAGATGGACAAGACTGGCCGGATGAGTCCTGTTCACCACAAACTCCCCTTCACCTGACCTTGCTGTGCCAATACAAGTGCCCCGTGTTGTGAGAGTCCAGCAGTGACCTTCACCAAGTGTTGCAGAAATGTGCAGTGCGCAAAAAACTGCACCGTCGACCCACCTGTTTCCACTGCAGTCTTGGCCTTGTTAACAGGACATTGATTGGACTTGGACTGAATGTGTGTGCATGGGTTTAAGATGATGTGTGACTGGTTCGATTCAGCCTTTGTGGCACCGAGCGCTCACCCGCCCCCGCACACCCGCTGGGTTCAGCAAGAGAGAAAGTGCACACTACAGTAAAAGAAGTCGCACTAGTGAAAATGCTGAGTCGATTTATTCTCGGAGGTCAGTGTGGCGCATGGAAGATGCAAGGGTACCAGCGACGGGGTGTTTAGATTTATAGCCTGGCATATGGCAAAGAAAGTTGGAGACTGATGGAAAGGAAGAGGGAGTGAGAGTTAAAAGGGGAGAAAAGTGAACAAGTGAAAAGTTCAAAGCGCTCTTTCAGATTAAGTTACACTCTGCAAAAAGGATGAAAACCAAAGATAACTGGAACATAACTGTTAAGTTTGATAAGCTTTAATTGTGGGTGGCTGAGGACAACAGACAGGAGGAACCTTGTTGTGATGAATTGTGCATTTTTTTTTGTGTGTGTGGTGGAGTTAAAGGGTGGAACAAGGCCACTTTGCCCATATTGACTGCAGTGCCATGTGACTGCTGTGATCATTAATGTGTCCTGATGCCAACGGGTATCCTGATGACCCACATCTCAGCAGTCCACTCTCAGTCTCTGGCTGCCACCCAAACCAGGCCTCTCTCTTTCTCTCGCTCTCTTGTCTTCTATCTTTACTCCCCGCTTTCCATGCCTCTTTTTTCTTGGAGAAACATACTCCTATCGTCTTTCTTAGAATTTGTCCACTGCAGGTGTAAAAGTGAAGTTGCAAGGAGCAGAGGTGGCGAGGGTAAACAAATCTAAATACCTGGGCTCAACCAACCTCCACAGCACTGGACAGCATGTAAGAGAGGTGAAGGGGAGAGTGCAGGCAGGGTGGAGTGGGTGGAGATAAGTGTCAGGGATGATTTGTGACTGAAAGATAGTAGCAAGAGTGAAAAGGGAAGGTGTTAGTGAGAGCTGCTATGATATATGGTTTGGAGACTGATGAAACGACAGGAGGCCAAGCTGGAGGTGGCAGAGTTGAAGATGTTATGGTGTGACCAGGATGGACAAGGTTAGAAATGAGTATATCAGGGGGATAGCACGGGTTGATCAATTTACAGACAAAGTCTGAGGCTGAGATGCTCTCGACATGTGCAGAGGAGGGATAGTAGGTATGTTGGGGAAAGGATGTTGAAAATGGAGCTCCTGAGCAGAAGGAAAAGAGGAAAAAGACAGACAACATTCATGGATATAGTGGAAATTAAGGGGGTCGGCGTGACAGAGGAGGATGTTAGAGACAGGGTGAGATGGAGGCAGTTGATCAACTGTGGTGAGCAAGAAGAAGAAGTTTGGTATTGAACCTCTATAATTTTTCTATTACTGTTAGAGACACACACCCCCGACCCCCAACACAAACACACACGGACACACACACTTCTTGTAGAATTTAGTTAAATAGCTAATCATTTAGACCACATTTCTGTTTTTTTCACCATTTTGTCCCTCACCATTTCCATTCGTATACAGATATCTTTCCCACTCTCTCTCTCCCTACTCCTCAGTGGACAATTTACATAAAAACAACCAACACTATTAACTGAGCTGTCTTGTGATCTTGTTTCCTCTTTGATGCAATCTTGCACTTTATTCATGAGCATCCAAGTTGGTCTGATGATGTGCTGACTTCAAATGAACAGCTTTTAATATTTTCACTGACCCAGTAAAGTAGCTTTAAAATGCAGAAGTTCTGCCCCATCTCGTTTACTCCATCTTCTTCCCCCTCCTAACCTTCTGTAATTCTCACCCACTCCTGATCTAATTCTATTCCAATTTCTGTTGGCATCGCAAATCCTACATCTGGCACATGCACACCACCTATTACTCCCAGAGTCTATCTCTCACTTGCACTCATGTATAAAATGCATATGCCTTCATGGAATAAGCAGTACCGCAAGCAAAGTGACAGGCACCCACAAACAAAAACCTGCTCATGTCGCTAAACTGTTTGAGTTAACAAATTTTGACATGTAAGCGAAACCAAATCACGCATGAGCTCCCAAAATCTTAGCCAGCACACACACACACTGTGTATGAAACCAATGGGTGTTGGAAATTTTGGGGGTCGGCTTGGGTGGGGAGGGGGCAAACCTCACTGCAGAATGGGAGTTAATTACCACATCCGATCAATAATTCATTACTCTGTCAGTTTGTGTGTCTGTGTGAGTCTCTCTCTGCTCTGGCATGTTTTGAGTGCACATAAGCATGAACACCAAACTCTCCCAGTAAGCATTTTCTTTCCCTGGGAATGGCGGATTAAGAGGATTGAATCCGTAATGGATTAACCTCTGCAGTTTGTGTGCGTATGCATATGTGTGAGTGTTCCTGTGTGTGTGTGTGTGCACGTGCACTGAGCGGGATCAGAGAGCCCATGTATGAACTGATTAGCCTAAGAAGCTGCTCTCCTTCCCTTTTAATGACCACATCAGCACTTTTCTCACCACGTGGAGGATAAATGTAGACTTGTCTGTCAAGGAAATGAGAAGCCCGCCTCTTTAAGAAGGGTTAGCTGTCATTCAAATATCACTCGTGGGCGCACTCCCTACGGAGTCCGGAGACCCTGCTGTGTCAGTGTGGCCGTGATGATAGATAGTGACTGTGTCTGTGTATTTGTAAATGTGTACACATGTGTAGGTGGAGGGGTGAGTGACCATCTCTATGGTGCATTTATTTATCAGCAGGAATTCAGCTTTTAACTGCAGCGCCTGGATTGAAAACCAAAGCCATTGCATCCATTAACTATATGACTGATATTGTTTATGGGATAAACATATATGCTAAATGGAAGAAAGATAACAGCTTGACAAGGGAAACAGAAACACAAAATGACCAATTACCCTGCTGGAAGCAACTATTCACCCACACCCCTCTCTGTTTTCACTCCGACTGATCTCCTCAGGGGTTCATACACACAGTGTCACATACACACACGTGTGCGCGCACATATACACACAATCATGCACATTCACGTACTCTTTGGCTACAGTGTGAGCTTGATGTATGTGCCCTGTAGTAGATCTTGCTAAACAGAGGGCCGATGTTTGACATGGAGCGCACGCGTCTGACAGCAGGCTACCGCTACACTGCTCATAGGCTTAGTATGCTGACACAGACACAAAAAAGTGCGTAAGCATACACACACACACACTGACAGCTATTTTGTGGAGATAAAATGGTGTTTAGACATCAGCGACAGGGTTTGCAGTACAGTATGTCAGCAGATGTGTGAATAAGAAGACATGAAGCCTGGGATGAAAAGGAGGAGATCAGGAGCCACACAGCGGACAAAGAGACAAAGAGACAGAAAGAGCTGAGTTTTTTAAGACAGAGTTGTAAAGAGGGACCAGTCAAAAGAATATTCAACATCCAGAGCGCCTACCTGTTTGCTGTACTTGTTTCCAGTCTGGCAGCCGTACTCTGAGCACTGGTCAGATCCCAGGGACATGGCATCTGCATTGCCACTGCCTCCACTACTGCTGCTGCTGGAACCAGCACTTCCCACACACCCACCACTGCCTACAAAGGTGTTAGAGGGAGGCAGCTCCTGGACTGCCTGGTGCTTCTTTCCCTCTGCTGGAGGTGAGTGAGGCTGAAGATTCACTGCGGGGAGGGGCGAGCTGGATTTGTAGTGCCGGGCCAGATCTGGGCTTGACTGATGCCTCCTACCACCGCCCATCCGCGGGCTTCCAGGGTCACCATCCACAGCACAGTAACGAGCTGCCAGGCGCTCACTAGCACTGCTCAGATCCTCTTCATCATCATCATTGGCATGGCGACGCAGTCCGTTGACTGTGACTATACCACTGTAGAGGGCTCTGTCTGACTTTCCTCCTCCAGGTCCATTCCCACTGCTTCCACTGCGCTTGTCCCTCCGAGGCTTGCGTCCACGATCTGATCCCCCACCACGGCCAACCTGTGGCTGCGCCCCCGTGGGACCAAAGAAATCTTCCTCTGGCTCCTTCTTGCCGGCCTCATAGCCATTCTTACCCTGAGCACCACACTGCCGAGCTGTGACTACCAGAAGAATAACCAAGATGACTGCTGCGGCTCCTGCCAGGACACCAATTGCTACACTGAGGCGCTGCTTGCCTAACGCACGCTCGCTGTCTGGGTCCCCTGCAATGTCTAGTGACAGCGGAGCCATCAGGCTTCGGGCCACCTGGGGAGAAAGGGAATAGGGGGAAAGATAAGATGCAAATGCAGAGTAAAGAAGGAAAAGGAATGCAGAGACAAACCATCAATAAAAAGTTTAGAGCAGCAACTGTAAAAAGATGACACAGTGGGGGTGAGCCACAGAGAAACATCAAACAGCATCGTCATCTTAATTACACTGTGTTTTAGTGTGAGAGCTCTCCATTATTCCCAGACACATAGGGTGTCACTAAATATATAATTGCTCTTGCTTCCCAGTTGCAGCATTTCAAATTGTGCCTCCAATTCTTCACTTGTGATCTCGCATCTTCTGCAGTAGTAGAGAAAAAATCTGGGATTATACTGTTTAAAGCTGATTAAAAGAATAAAATGAAACTTTAGACATTGAGCTCATGGGCAGTTAGGAATGGGAAAAGTAGAAGAAACAGTCAGTAAATGTGAAAATAAATTCAAGAGACATTATGAATACACCCTCTGAATGCAAACTCATCTACTGTCTCATCAATGAACAATGTCCCTATTGTAAATGAAAGCGTAGGCATGGATTTGTTAAGGATTTGGTATCACAATTTTTGCACTGCGAATTGGACAGTTAGACAAATAAGGAGGCTACTGTAAATATGTGAGCTCTGTGGAATTGTCTTTAGAGCCATTTTTCCCCCCACATTTTAAGGTCTCAAGTTTGTTCTGTTTAGCATAATGGTTTTGTTACAAGGTAAATCCACGCTAATCCATTTCAATATACAGCATATTGCACATATTTTGTCTCTGGGCTTAAGATAGATCTAACAATTATCTTCCTTTATGAACACATATACAGGATTGAAGCTCAGACATGCTCTGAGCTTGTACACTAATAAAAGGATCATTATAAGAAAGTGGGTTATGCTGAAACACAAACACAGCCATTAGTGGATATGGAGCCTTGCTCGACAGGAGACAATGAGGCTGTGGTGTTCTGGTCTGCACAGCCCTGCTGATAATATGGGGTAGACTCATGAATTTAAATACGACTAATCAATACAAACCAGCTTTGTAGGCAGAATCATTATTTAGATGCACTACAAGTTTAGACAGATATGAGCACAGTGATATCTATTCATGCACCTACACATGCCCGCAGAGAGTGTAAGCTGTTAGCGAGACAACTCATTCAGCAATCCCGACACCTTGTCACAGAGCTCATACGACAATTTCTTTGACCCATCTAGACAAAAAACTACTGACTCATGTAATTCCTGCTGCCTGCTGCTTAAGAATGTTAGATAATAAAGTATGCAAGGATGAATGGGAGAAAAAGAAGTTAAATATGAGCCCTCGTGGCTTCAGATGGCTCAATAAAAAAAATATATGGTATAACCTGCAGTGTTAGTAATACTGCAGAAAATTCTGCTCATACAGCTGCACTGTGTAACTTGCTCATTATACTACAAAAGGCATATGAGGCTTACTTATACAGAGGCATTCTTTTTGTTATCCATGAGCTGAGAATAAGCCTGGCAGTGTTGTAGTTCGTTGTTTTATCCCCATCTATCAGGGTTAAGTTTCATTGTTTTTCACTGAGTTGTGTTGGTTCTATTCCATTATTCTGCTTCCACTGCAGAGGGCCTCTCTGCCAGGCTCCGCTCTCCCATCAGCCCCACTGTTCTTTTGCCTGCAGTATTCCTTTCCATTCTCATTCTACTGGGCGTCTCTGGCATAGCGCATCCCCTGCACTGTCTGCTGTATTGTGTGTGCAGAACAAAGAGAACATTGCGATGGTGTGTCATATGTACAGATACCACTATGTGATGGTGCAGCCGCCAAGTCTCTGTGTGTTTGAGTGAGCACACAGGCACATGTGACGGCAAAAAACACGGAATGGTGCAAGGTGTATGGTTGTGAATCATCTCCTCTCTCTCTCTCTCTCTCTGTGTGTGCGTGCGTGTGTGTGTGTGTGTGTGTGTGTGTGTGAGTGAGTGTGCATGTGAGAAGATGAGACAGCCCATGTATTGTCATCCAAGTGTAGATATGCATGCTGTATGCAGGTATGGGTACAGCATACCTGCACAAGAACATTAGATGCCCCAAGTGTTGAGCGGTATAAGCTGCCAACTCTACCCCTACATTTGAATTCAACCTTGTGACGCATCCCAAAATCCCAGAGGAATCTTCCATTCTGCTGCATGAGCTTTATTCTAGCTGGACCTAACATTAGCATCTATCTGTTCTACTCTCCAAGGATTCAGTTATCAGCATGTCACTGCAGATACTGATGCATCCAGACAAGGAGTCCACACAACTAGCCGATACTTGAAAAGTACTCATTCGCGGCTGGGGGCTCAATAAATTCACACCACAGAATAGCAACACTTTTAAAAATCTTACATTTTTAAGATGAAAAAAAAAAAATTCATATATATATAGATGAACTGAGATAAAATACAATTGGTCAAAATGTGAAAGTGGACTTCATAGTAGATCACACTTTTGATGTACCTTAAGGGGTCCCAAATGACAGCAATGTCTAAAATCTCACAACTAAATTCTTTCTTCTTCTACCTCAAACTCTGCAGAATGATATTCCAGATAATTATCCAACATGTGGCTCTCCCAGTAATGTTGGATAGAAATGACTGGGGTAATTTTCTGCCGCGGTGCTACTGCAGCAGCAGCAGCCGTTTTCGTTCCCTAATTGCATCTGGCATCCATCCACCACTCAGTTTGACTTCATTATGAGATGGAGGTATTCTCTCTTCAATGACTTCTACTCAATTACTCCTTCAAGTTCCTCCTTACAGTCACACTAAACTATGCATATTGTAATCACAGACAGCTTTTATATCAGCTTGGATATATTACAACCTATTGTTTGATTCAGTGGCATGGTCATTTAGGCGTACTGCAGCTAATTCTTCCTGCCCTGGTATTGTTTCATCACTTACCTCGTGATCTTTTTAAATTCTCATCTCTTTGATTTCTTGTTTTTTTTTTATATATATTTCTATTTTTAAGTGTTAAATTCATAAGGTGTCCTATTTACTCCCTTGTGATAAAATCATTCACCCTCTGTCTGCACTCATTTGTTTGACTTTGTTCGAAAAGATATCTGGATGCCAAATTGTCTCCACATGAGGTGAGTCAAAACTTTCAAGCTGAGGTAATACAGGATGTTTTTCCCTTGCTAAAACACAACATTTAGCTTTAAGTGTGGTTCAATACAAGGATTTAGATTACTCAGAGGGCATGTTTAGCACAGTTTTACTGTAGTTGCTATGCAACTGTCTAAAATAGCTATACTAACATAACAGAAAATGAGAAATTAGTTAAAGTTTACATTTCTCAGCTGGCAATCATATATATTCTCCAACTGTCTCATTTTTAATCATCTTCCCACCCAGGGAAGCAATACACTACAACAAGCATAGATCGAGGTAGAGTCTGCAAGAGGTGCATTTGCATTATAAAGTGTGCTCTTACAGAATCAGCTAACATTTTGCATAGGTTAGAGTTCAGTGGAACTTTTTATGCTGTCCATATTGACCAAAACATTTTTTTACTTGTTATATGTGTGCCTCTTACTACTCTTACTGTTCGCCTCACTACCTCACTAATATTTATCTAATATTTATATTTATATAAATCATGATACATGCAAAGAGTGGACAGCTGAAGACCTTTTCCTCAGAGAAAATCTAAGAATCAGTTCCTGCCCAAGTTTCAAGTGGGAGTTGAAACCACAAGTTCAGCACAAACACTCTAACCACAAAGCCACTGAACCAATTTAATTAATTAAGCGCCAGTACCAATTTCCACACCAGAGATAAAGTTTCAGTAATTATTACCTGCCAGCATTTATAACTTAATTGAACATTTTTAAAGTGTAATGGGAAGTTCATTTGATTAATACGGAGGCAGAGGAGAAAGAAAGATTTCCACCAGCATAGCATAAGCTAAATTTGAACTCATACTGTTGTAGTTATTTTTGGTATCTCGGTAATGTCTTTGAGTCTAGTCAATTACCTCTGCACCTCCGTGTGGCTCTTTCAAGCCAACTCTGATCTTGCTCTGAAGACTTCTGTTTCAGAAAGCCACACAGATTTATTCAGTAATAGCAGATGCATTATATATTAAAGATTCTCTTTATTCTCCCAGTAAACATTACCCCTTTGCCATTTGAAGTGGTTTACTTTATCTAATCTCTGCCCGTGTCTCTTCTCTTCACAGTGTGCTTCAAAACACAATGCAAACTCTATACTGCATTAATATTCAAGTCTATAGTTAAGAGACACGGCTCTGGAATAACTTCTATTCAAATGTACGAACATACTTCAACCTATTCTGTATCAGAGGGCCAAAACTGGGACAGGGCGATCTCTCTCTTGCTGGCTCTCTAACATACTTACCTCTAATGCTCTCTCTCTCTCAAACACACTCTTTTCCTCTCTTCTTTCTCTCTCACCTTCCCTCTCTCAATCAGCACCACACACACCAAACCAATCCACACACACACCACACACACACACCACACACACACACACACACTAATGCTTTCGGCTTTGAGTTCAATGTACCATAAAAGGAGAACCACTTCAGTAATAACAGTTATTTTAACCACACACGCATTATAACAATGCATGCTGGACAAAGAACACACTCCAGTAGGCTCCAAACTACAAAGAAGCTGGCATTGCCAGTAGCCATCAATTGAGAAATGGGCTTCTTTATCTGGGGCAAATGTAGGCACATTTTCCCCCAAAAAACTGTCTGAAAATTACACCATGCAGGCTGCAGAATCTCTGCATTTATTCATTCTGCAGCCACAGCTCCTGCACTGTAATGTGTAGACATTGTGGCCGTTTAAGTAGGCCCCGGGGCAATACCATCGCTGTCAATATTTGTTATCATTATCAACAGTGTGGAATTGTGGTTCACATTTACCAAAAAGGGACAGTAGGTTTCATTAAATCTTTTACTTTGAGTTATTTAACTTAATGTACTCTGTGGGAGAAATCAGTTAGCATAAGACTGTATTAATACATGAAGTTACCTGTGCATCCACTAGTGAAGCATTAGCCAAGCTCTCATTAATGAAGACATGAACCAGTGCAGTGGCACAGAGAGAGGGGATGCCACTGTCATTCACTCGGACCACCAAACGATGTAGACCTCTGTGGCGGCGCTCCAGAGGCTCTGCCAGGGTGATCACTCCATTGGTGTGGCCAATCTCAAACAGTCGGAAGGGATTTCCTCCTACTAGAGAGTAGTGAAGATCAGCATTTGGGCCTGTGTCTGAGTCTATGGCTGTTACAGTTTTGACAATGGTGCGGGCACTGCTAGCAGGCGGTAGGAGGGTGTAGGACTCGTTGGCTGGAGAAGTAATTGCGGGGGCGTTGTCATTTTCGTCCGTCACAAAGAGCGAGACGGTGGCAGTAGCAGTTTTGCGAGGCTCACCTCCATCCACTGCCCGGACACGGAAAGTGTAGGTGGAAAGCTTTTCACGGTCAAATGATGCAGAAGAGAAGATGGTTCCAGTGTTGTTCTCAATGGAGAACAACTCTTCATTCTCTTTTTTACCATCTTCTCCCTCTGATTTTTCTCCTGTCATCTTCTCATCAACTCCATCCATCTCTACAAAAAGACTTAGTTCTGCATTCTGACCTTCGTCAGCATCAGTCACAGTGACCATGCCAACTGGACTGTTGGCTAGCAGATTCTCCTTTACATAAAATGTGAAGATTTCCTGAACAAACTTTGGAGCGTTGTCATTGCGATCGGTCACCTGAACAACAACGCTGGCAGAGCCTTGTAAAGACGGGGTGCCTTTGTCCTTTGCAAAAACCCGCAGTTCATATCGCTCTCGCTGCTCACGGTCCAAAACCCCAGTGGCACGAATGTCTCCATTGTCTGCATCTATGTAAAATGGTCCATTAGCAGCAGGGTCGAGTGAGTAGGCAATTTCAGCATTCTTGCCACTGTCTGCATCTGTAGCTACAACAGTGACTACCCTTTCGCCAGGCGAGTTGTTCTCTGCAAAGTGGACCTCCACAACACTCTGGGCAAAGGTTGGAGCATGGTCATTGATATCTACAACTCGCACCATCAATGAGCTGTTACTAGAGAGACTGGGGCTGCCAGAATCTACTGCCACAATTGTTACACTGTACTCTTTTGTGGCCTCGTAGTCCAGCAAGGCAGAAGTGTGTAAGAAGTACTTTTTCTTGTTCCTGTAAAAAAAGAAAAAAGAAAAAAAAAGAAACATGAATGCAATAGACATTTTACAGGGAAATGATATACGTCTGATCTCCGGTGGAGACAAATAATGATATTTCTTATTAAACTGCACTGGCACTGAGACACCAGGTGTTGCAGAAAGTTAAGTGGCTATTGTCTTGGTATTTTTATGGGAAATGTTCTATTATCATATCATACAAAATGTCACTTCTTTTGATTTTAGAAAGCCCAAGGTCACATCTTCAAAAGTCTTGTGTTGTCTCTCCAACAGGAAAAAAAGCATAGAGATACGTAGATCACAGTGATTAGAAACAAAAAAAAAAAAAGACAAGCACTCAATTAAAAAGAAAGGACTAGAGAATACCTTGTTCTTTTTTTTGCCTGAAAATTAACATCTGTCGAATAATTTCACTTTTCTTTCAATCAGCTCTAATATTTGCTACTTTAATAATCATTGGATTTAAAAACATCTTCCAAGGTGACTGCAATAATCTGTGAAGGGACACTAACACTGGAGAAACTGTGATTGTGACATTTTAATTAAAACCATGTATCGATGTGGTGAAGACCTCTTATCGTTACCACTTTGACAAATTTCTTTAGTCGACAATAGCCTTACATTCAATAAAACCACTAACCTCATTGTACAGGTGTCTGGTACTAACAATAATATCCTAAGAGGCTTTGTCTTTTTTTTCTCACTCCTGCCATTCAATGCCTTAAGGGAACATTCTTATAACTGACTGAAGTGCACTGACATCTGTAGTCATCACTGCTGGAATAATATTATTTAAAAGTGCAAAGCCCTTGACTATAATGAATATTTGTGCCTTAAGTTTACAGATTGTAAGATAGCTTCCCTACTTTGTAATGTTAGTGAATGAGTGACACTACTTGAACTAAGCTCAAGTGAAATTGGCATGGAAAAACACTTGAATTCTCTGTGAAAAACAGAGATCTAGATGGAAACGGTTTGCTGGATGTGTTGTTATCAGTGTTAGAATGAGCAGGTGTATATACATTTTCATATGCTGTATATTTCTGAATCATGATAACAGTTCACACGGTTCAAGGTTTGTATGGTATGTATGGTGAGGAGATACCAGTGAGTGAGCCAAGAAGTAGCTTCACATTAGTGTACAGTTTATGGAAAATGGGGGTTGACAAATTACAAAAGAAGAAGAAAAGCATCTTACTAAGCTAATAGGCTCCTTCTAGAACAACTTTTATTCACCATTCATCACTGATTTTACAAGTGTGCGAAACGCTAATGGGGGGGATTAAATATTGTTATTAAAAATATATATATTCCCACATTTGATGTTTTGATAACAATGGTAGAGTCAGGTCTTTGTATATGGTTCAAAATCTCCCATAGGTGTTGTGCTGGGTTGAGATGGGGTTACTACAAAGACCATATGATTCATATCATTTTTATACTCATAAACCATTTAGTGACCCCTTGTGCCCTATGGATTAAGGCCATCAGTACAGAAATATTTCATCAAGCAATAAAGGTGAGCACTCAGGACACCTTTGTATTGATTTTTGGAGACCCTTGCCTTTAAGGGAACAAACTGTTCCAGGAACTTGACCTCCATAGCATGACAGAGCCCACAGAATCTCTCCAATCAAGGGTTCAAGTTTCCCTCTGATTGTTCACACATCTGTGTTCTTTGATAACTGAATTAATCACTGTACATAAGTGTTAAGAAATAGCTATAAATTACCTGTGTTTGATGGAATTTTAAAGTTGTATTGTTTGATGTATATGACCCTTTTTTTAATAAACAATGACCTCGCTGTTGTTTTTCAACTCTGTCATTTTGATTCAGGTGCTTAATGATACATAGACACATGTTATTTTACTAATATTCTGCCTGTTTGCTAATGTTTTGTCCCCCGCTCAAGTAAAGTTGTGTATCATATTGAACTTTTATTTGAAATGCCTCATTACTTCATAATTACCAAAGATAACTTACTGTGTTGTGCTCCTTAAAAAATTTCCACCGTGCTTTGGCAAGGAATTATTATTAGGATAGAGGTTCATTATCTGACAGTGTGTGCCCAAGTAACTTATTATCTAGTCTTTGATTCAGTGTTGTTCAGCAAATGCTTAATGATAGACACTTATCCTGGCATGTTTACTTTTAACTTTTCAGGATTTTGTGTAAGTTATCACTGTTAACTGTTTTGGTTCATCTTACCTGTCAAAGGCGTCATCTGCAGGTAAGGGTGGGAGCACTGTTTCCCCAGCTGGCTTGAGTGTGAATGGGACATCTCCTACTACTGTGCAAGTCACAGCTCCATTCTCTCCCTGGTCCCGGTCTGACACCTGGACCAGAGCTACTGGTGTGTCCACCAAGACATTCTCTGGCACTAAAGAGGCTCCGTCTCGTACAGGGATCCGGCCAATTTTTCGGATCTCTACAACAGGAACGTTGTCATTTTCATCCCGAACAGCCAAAACTACCGTGGTTCGATCAGTGCGGGGTGGCTGGCCGCGGTCCCTGGCCATTACTGTGAACCTCAGTTGTGCCACTTCTTCTCTATCAATCCTGTGGAGAACACTCAGCCATCCAGTTGCTTCATCCAGCCTTAGGAGTCGCCTGACAGACTCAGTTGCAGCTCCAAAGACGTACTCCACTTGCCCATTGACTCCAATATCACGGTCTGACGCTCTAACCTGGAGGACAGGTGTACCTGGAGGGGCATTTTCTGCCATTTCTGCTTCATATGTAGACCTCTCAAATTGTGGGCTGTTGTCATTCACGTCAGAGATAGAAACACGAAGCAGAGCTTGGGAGGAACGTGGTGGGTTCCCTCCATCTCGAACCCTCAGGACAAGCTCATATGAATCTTTTTGCTCACGGTCTAAGGTGCCTTTCACAATGAGCTGTGGCTGTTTTTCACCATCTGGTATATCTGCCACTTGCAGTTCAAACACACTGCTTCTAGCTCCTCCCCCATTATCTCCACTTCTACCCCTCCGGTCCCCAAGCCCATCTACTCTAGTAATGGGGTTTCCTCCTGCTGTGCGTCTTGATGAAGTTGACCCAGCCCCACCGTCCTGAATGAGCTCATAACGGTCAATGCCATTTCGCCCAAAATCTCTGTCTGTGGCAGTGGGAAGCAGGTAAAGGGTTCCAATGGGCCGATTCTCTTCAACTGAGAGCTGCAGCACAGGTGAGGGGAAGGAAGGTGTATTGTCATTGATGTCTGTGATGACAACACGGCCTTCAAACAGGTCTACCCAGCTCTGCAGTGGCCCGATCACTGACACTTCAAAGTCCAAGAAACACTCATTTTCATCAAATATCATCTGGCACTGGGGGAGTTTCTCTCTGTCGATGCGCCGTGGGCCGGTTGTCAGCTCACCTGTCACATTGTCAATCTTGAAGTACTCTGAGCCGCTCTCCAGGGCAAAGGTGACATCCCCACTGCCTGTACCTGCTGTGAGGCCAAGGTCTGCGGCTACGTTGCCAATCTTGACGTCAGGTGGACCCTCCTCCGCCACCCGGTACCGGAGAGCTGAGTCGGCACCCGGTAGCTGAGTCAGCAGCTGCAGCACTAAGACCACGAGGCTGAGAACCTGCGCCGCGGAGGAGTGCACTGCACCAAGCCTCTGCATGGCTCTTTCTCTCGCTTCTCTCCTTCCCGCTCTGTCTGCCTCGTAGCTGCGGCTCGTCTCTTCTTTATTTATGTTCTGGTGTACCTCACGGCGTGGGTGTTTGGTTTATCCTTTCTTACCCTTTCTCTACCACTCTCTGTGGACTGCTGCCTGAGGTCCGGAGAAAAGCTTTCTGACTGTAGTTCACTTCAGTGGCACAGGCTCCTTTCTTCTGTTCTCCTCCTATACCCAGTGATTTTTATTTTCAAACTTCTATAGCAGCAGTGCTCTTATCTTGCTGGGCTGTTTAAGCCTCAGAGATATAAAAAAATCCATCCTGCTGCGAAAAATAAAACTAATTTATCAGAATTGGATTAATCCACTTCCTCACTTCTTTCTCTTCCCTCCGTAAACCGGAGAGCTATCCGGACAAGGGCGCTTATCAGTTCATAATGCTATTTGTAACTTCTTTTTATTCCAGTCACATTTGGGACAGAGGCTTTTCTCGCGTTTTTCACAGTTAGAAACTGCAATGCAGCACCACTAGAGGAAAGAAAGAAAGAGAGAGAGAGAGAGAGAGAGGGAGGGAGGGAGAAAGAGAAAACAGCCTCTCAGCTCTCTGGATGGTCAAAATTTACTCGAATCTCAGAAAAAGAATGAAAATCTGTTTGAAACAAGTCTCTGGGATCCTGCTAGACTGGATCTTTTCTTACCTTCAGATCCAGCTGCGTTTTCCTCTTTTTCCCGCAGTGGAGCAACGTGCCAAGCAGTCGGATTCCTTCACGCAAGTTATCTGGAGAGAGGAGTGTTTTGCAAGCCGACTTTCTGATCATGTATTTTCTCATAAAATAGAAAAACCAGAGCCACTCTTTGTGGACTAAAAGGGGGGTATCCCGAGTGCAGCATCAATTTAGCATAATCCTGTGCAGCCCGTGTTCGGGATGGATGTCTCGGCGATGGACCGAGTGTAGATGCGTCTTTTTCCAAGAGTCCCGCATTCTCTCTCACTCCTCCACACGCGCCTCCTCCTCTGGTTTTTTTCCCCTCTCACCTGCACTGCTCGGGACTGCTGCTGCTGCCTCCGGTCTCCAGCAATGCTGCAGTCTCTCTCTCTCTCTCTCTCTCTCTCTCTCTCTGCCTCTCTCTCTCTCTCTCTGTGTCTCTCTCTCTTCGCTACTGCAACATTTTTCCCCATTCGCGTAACTCGATCGCTGAGCTGTAACGGGAGAGGCAGCAGAGGCGGTGTTGGGTCGCTGTGTGTGTATGTCGGTTACTGGGGACAGACCTCACCCCCCTTCCTGTCATATAGGAAGATTAAATGGCTTGGTGTCTGGGCTGCTGACAGCTCCTGGTGGGGAAATATCTTTATTCACGTATTCATACAAAGGACAAGAGAGACGGATAGAAAAGAGAGTGATCTGGCTGTAATACAAGTCAGCCCAGCGCTCAGTCATATTTCTGCTGGTGCAGCTCTTTTGCAGAGGCAAGTGTAGAGGGCTTCATTCATTCTTTTCTGAAAGAGGCAGAAATTGACACAGCCTTTGCGCTCTCACGTAATGGGAAATTGTTGTAATATTTACAATCCTGTGACGGGTATAGTTGCACGGCATGCGTAAACTGTAACCTATAGTATACCTTCCACAAAGCACCACTGCAACCTATTGTAAATAAATACAGAAATAAATTCCACGGATGAATTAAAAGTGGTAAGCATGCTATCTACCACTTTTTCTGATTTTCTTTTCTTTTCTTTTAACGTTCAGAGGTGTTTCGGTTGTTTCTTGGCTTTCACTGCCTCTTACATAGTCTACTCACACACGTGCGCACACTGGTGTGGAGTTGTTGTCTCTCAGCGGAGGGACCTGCTCGGTGAGAAGCGCAATGCAGCATCGGTCCGCTGCTTACTGAACACTACCGGGATTTCCACGTTGCTGCTCTACTACATCACCTTTGCATTTCTAATTTCCAAGCTAGTCAGGCCGTTTGTTATAGAGCCACTAGCACCGTTTGTCTCCCGGCCTGAAAGCAGGGAGTTCCCCATAACACATAACATTATTGACGGAGTGAGCCCTGTGCACCAGCCATTAGTGAACAGTTTATTGCTGACGGAGAGTAAACAAAGACTGACAAACTGCATAGACGGGTGACATGTTGCCGTTTCTACCCTCTCTCCCACCCCCACTCCCCTTTCTCCCCCCCCCCTCCCAGCTGCACCAGGAGCTGTGGGTGTGTAAAGCGCTTATGGGCCAATGTGCTTAACATTCAGAGGCACCGACACTCGCCCGCTTCAAGCGCACTCACGCCCTCTATTGTCTGCCCCACGTGCGCGTTTGTTTCCCTCGAAATGAATCCTGGAATTCGCCTCGTGTTTTGTGCGCGCGGGCATGAGCGCGCACATTCATTTCTGGGAAGAAACGAGAGAAAGAAACAAACGGGCAATTAGAAAATGAAGTGCATGTGCGCGCCTGCTTGTGTGTATTGTTTGGCTCCTCCGGTCAGGTTAGTTCATTTTTGCTTCAGCTGATTTAAAAAATTTTGGTCTCATTTGACCTAATAAAAAATCATCTAATAAAAATATGCTGACCCGAACATGCTGTTATATCCAACCCATTAAGATATAATTGAGCACGAATCCTCTTTCATCAGCAAATGAACTGCACTTTCAATTTGCATATTGAATGAAAAGTGACCCGTGGTGTGTGCGTGCGTGTGTGTGTGTGTGTGTGGTCTAGTTAAACACAGGATGTCTTTTTTGTCTCTGCGCTGACAAGCTTTTTAGCCTAAAGGCTTAATCTGCTGTTTGTGCCACCGCAGCAGCAGTCAACAGTCTTTACATCATATTGTAATAACTACACAGACATTCCACAGCATTGATCATAAAAAGTTATTCATGTTAAGTATCATGAATCATGTTTGCTCGATGTCATCCAGGCAAATGATAATTGTTCCAGCACCATCCCTTTTAAGAGAATGCGACCTTATAATCAATTTCATTCAAATTTATGTATATGTGATGTTACATTGACATCATGGAGCTTTAACTACAGACATTCAGTCAATCAGAAACTTTCAAGGTGCATTATATCTAAAGCCATTATATGCCATTTCTTTGACATTTGTATTTTCCCCTCTCCGTCTATTCATTTTTTCTACTCAAACTGCATCATAAATGAGATTTGTTAATTGTTTATTGATTGCTGTCTCTGTTATGTTTTGGTAGAAGCACAAAGACGAACACCAGTTGCCAACTATCTGTGACACATTAGGTTGTTTGAGCGTATATTTATACCCCAGTGTTCCCATCCAGAACTGCAGCAAAAAAAGGCTGAGTGACTACAAAACTCATCACGCTAACCTCAGTGGTCATAAAGCCCTTTAAAACCTGAATCATCTTCACAGACCACCTACTTGACATCCTGCAGTCCACCTCCTACACAGAACACAAGCTGCAAGCCCAAGAATACATTTATTGATTCTTCCTGGTGGTGGACTTCAGCTCAGCGTTTGCGATTTGATCCATTAACTGCTTCACACGAAGCTCTCCTGAATCACAATGCCTGCTTCCACCTGTTAAAGGATCGGCAGCTTCCTGGTAGGGGAGCGCAAATGAAGCTGCAGAATATTCCATCACTCCTTAGATGTGTGTACTTTCTGTTGCTCTTCTCCAGTTAAACACATCAGAATCTTTTTAATCCTTTTCAAACTTCTTGGGTTTGTATGTAATGCAAGCGTTAGATGAGTTTGCATAATGTTAAGGTGAACAGCTCTGGCAACCTTAACAAAATGGAATGATTTGTTCAATAAAAAAAACATGAAAAAAAGCATTACAGGTGAAGAATGTTAGAAGAAGAATGCAGAAAATCAAGAAGAATATCAACAGTTGAAAAAAGAAAAAGTCATAATCAGTTCTAATAACTGCAACCACAACTTTAATTGCTTCCCTTAAGATTGTGCCTCACCACATCTTAGCATTCACCTTAGAAACAAGCAGGGAAGAAACCCTCTTCTTTGTTAACTCGGTTTTCAGAATTTCTCAACATACATAATATTTTTGTCATTCATGGTTCTTAATAATTCAAATCACTGTCACTTCGCCCACACCGATCCAATTACCCTACAAACATATATATCCTTATACAGTGAAACTGATATCTGTTTGTACATTTGACTGTGCCAATATCTAATTCTCCACAGCATGTGAAAAGCAGAGATACAGAGGAGGCAGGAGGCTGACTCTGTCCTTCACTGTGTACAATACCATAACACAGGACATTGAGGAGCTTGTGCACTCTTTTTTATGATGTGCTGGAGAGGGAGCATCAAGATTGGCAAAGCTAAATAGCTCAATAAGCCAGTCAAGAAAGCAAGCTGTGTTGTAGGATGAGCCCATATTGTCTAGAGGTAGTCAGTGAGAGTGGGATGAGTACAAGGACTGACTCAATCTTGCATGACCTTCATCCTCTTTATCATGGTGAAAGAGCCAATAAACCAAGCACCATCAGCACTGATGTGGGACTTTAGCCTCTGTCACCATTCTCTGACTTCTACCATGGATCAGCCCTCATGGCTTTGTGTGGACAGTATACTTTGCTGTTATGTTGTGTATGTATAATGTTTAATTTTTATACACCTGGTATTTAATGTGTAGAAGACATTTAATAAAGGAACAAAGAGCACAGGTGTCCTTCAATATGAAATTACAGCTCAGTTCACACACCCATGTGTGCATTAGACTATTTCTAGAATAAAAGGTTTCTGTTTGTTAATATGTTGTCATAGTTACAAATCTCTGGATGCAAGGAATATTACAGTTCAGTTCACATGCCCACGTGTGCATTGGATGATGCCTAGAATAAAATGTTTCTGTTTGTTAATATGTTATCACAGTTACAAATCTCTAGATACAAGGGATATGCTTTATTAAACTGGACTCTGGAATAACTTAATCACATTTGAAAACACTGGTACTGGTGGGCTATATTAGATGAAATGCCAATTAGTAGCTTTTGTTAGCAAGGTCTGGTAATCAACGGTTTGATGTCTTTTCAAAGCAGCTTGAAACAGCTGCAGTAACAGACCTCTAAAGAGGCCCAATCATTCACATTCTAACTATGAGAGTGTCAGTCAAAGAACTATTTTAATATTGAATAAGTCCAGGGTAAGGAGTCTGACAAAGAAGAACAGCAATTACAAGGTGAAATGATCTAACGGTGATGATCTAACTCCACATTTTGCAAATGTTCCTAAAACTTGCAGTTATAATTCCAACAAATGCATATTTGTCCTATTTTCACTCTTTGTAAAATAATTTCAGTGACAAGCATCTATCTGAATTGTATGCTGGTTTGTGTACTTGCTTCCCAGAGCTGTGAACTATAAATCATGTTCTACATGCTGGGAACTACTAATGTTCTAATAAACTAATAAAGCTCCTAGAAATAAAACCCCTGCCGCTGTCTGTTCGTCCTTTACTCTCTGTCTCAGTCAGTGTTATGTGAGAAACTTGTGATAAAACTAAAAACATGCAGTAATTTCATGTCTAATTTACAGTGATCTTGTGTGTCACCTGAAAAGTGACTCTTTCTCATTGAAAGGTTGAAAACCACTTAAGAATAGAATCCCAGTGATCTATACTGCATTTTTTTTCTTTTACATCAGCATTTAAGAGCTAGCTTCTGCATAATGTCAGTTTTTGTACTGAATCATACCACATTTTGACCACTATCTGCACTACGATATCATGTTTTATTCAACATTATTTCTAATATATGAATCAATTGAATTTTCACTTCTGATTCAGCTTTGATGGTACTGACCTCTAGGTAGCTCAGCATCTCTGGGCTTCTCCTTATATGCAGCTGTATCTCTGTTATTATTCCTATGCCCCTGCTAGTGCTGTGTACACAGGCATACTTGGCTCCAAAGTTCAAATTCCCCTGGGTTGTTTGTATTATCCCCAGGGTACTTTCTTTATTTTCCATTTTTATAGTTGGTAGTCATAGATGTTTTTGAACAGCTGTTTACACCTAGTGCATATAATTTATTGCAGACATTAAATGCAGCATGTAGTCTGCTTTAAGTTCTGTGCTGAGTGTGAATAGGAAA